TAGTAACATCCTTTGTCTTCTTACTGCTAGTGCACCCACTTGAAAATTAAACTTGATAAGCAATGGAAAAACGATCGTGGCTATCCCCTGCAAGAGTCGGCGGCGCTGCTTGCTAGGGTTCGCCAAGGAGAATTTCTCTTTATGAACTAACAACCTCCCTGACACATCAGCCTTTTAAAACTCAGCTTTAAACAATAGATTGAATAAACAAAATCACTTATGTCTTATGGGAAGTTTCTGTCGTTCAATCTCAGCTCTCCTTAATAATTTCTCTTGTTTCTGAAGCGCAAGCTAGCCAGAGGATGACGATAATAATTTTAAAATACTTTTTTTTTTACCATGCCCACTGAACCTATTCATTCCAATTTTTAAATACATTTGTTAATATATCATACAAAATACATTTGCTAATATATATATATATTATTAAAATACATTTTCTATAAAATACATTTGCCCAATGTTCAAATATTGATGGAGTTTAATCCAACTACGAGAGCTATATCTACGAGAGAAGATGAAATTTGGGCAGCGTAAGGCAGTGTTTTATTACTCGGAAGCCGATCCTTTGATAGGAAATATACAGGAAGTATTTATAGACTATAGGGGCTAATATTCTAGGAGGAAACTGATACAATAAATGATACTGATTATATTCTAGTCAAATAGAACTCATGTAACGTCTTGGACGTTGTGCAATGATTATGTCCTTAAAGTCTGTGTTCTTCTGTTGAGTCCTGCCTGCTGCCAGATAGCTATACTCGAATGATAGCCTGCAACGTAAGCCCTAAGAATATCCCGGCCTCACTAGAACTCTGCACAGGCTCGAGGTCTGTTGTTCAGCATTGCCTGGTTGTGGGTTCCGATCATGGGCCTGATTCCTAAGTAGGCCCAGCGGCTTATTATATTAATCCTGTTTAGGGCTTGATGCCTTGATCCCTTTATGGGCTAATCCTGTTTTATAGGCTGATCCCGTTGAAGGCTAATCCCGTTGAGGTCTGATCCCGTTATGGGCTGAATTCCGTAATTGGGCCATGGTCCAAGTCCATGGTACCATCAGGAGCCCCCCTACTCCCTAAAATCTGCAGAGCTGGATTTTAGAGGAGTAAGATGGCGCGGTTAATCAAATTCAAATTTCAAATCTTCTTTGGGTGGATTGTAGTGCCGCTTCGCATTTAATGCGCCCGACTTGACATCGGCCTGCAGCCCCAATCATTGATCATCAAGAATGAGATATTAATGATATGCGATAAGATTGGTATGTGGACTGCAGCATACTTTTAGAAAGTATAGTTGATGTCACGACTGTGAGTTCCTGTTATTCATGATGGTCACATGGATATTTTAGAGAATATTGGCATACCCACCGAGAAATCATTTGATAAGTTCTATTCATGTGTTTATGGGATTATTGGTGTATAGAGTAGTGTAATAGTCCTCCGACTTGAGGTCAATACATACTACATGTGTGGAGTGATGTACTATGACCATGACCAACGCTTGCACTCCAGTCAAGGTAGATACGACATGTGTTAGGTGCATCACGAAGCACATGGAGTAGTTGTTGAGCCAAGAAAGGATTCTTTTCTCGTAATAGATTAAGAGAGAACATTTTACTTCTCATATCTAGATGGATCATAAAGTCATTTGCCAATGCAAAGATATATTCGTTTTAAATATCGAATATGATCGTTATGGATCATCTAGAAAGATTGAGAGACAGAGACTAAGTAGTTATTGGAATAGACACAATATCAAGTTCTAAACTTAATTGAATGTTCGTTGAATGAAAGGACCATATCACTATGAGCTCTATATTACAGAGAGTTTGAATAGTCCTCGCAAATGTCCTTATATATTAAGATTGTGTGGTAAATCGTCTAGGGATTCTACTAAAACCTTAATTTGATTAGTGTTTAATATATAAGGCCCTATGGGTCACACAACAAATGATTATACCTTCTGATTGAATTATTAGAAGTAATTAAATATTATTAATTGGACTATATAATATTTAATTCGTAATGCTGAAAATAAGATGAGTTAAATATTAATTAGATTAATATATGTAATTCATCATGTTGGGGGATTGTTATGTTTGATAGAATTAATTAAGTGTGATAAATTAGATTTATCATACTTAATTAAGATGTATTTATTATTAAATAAATTGGTATTTTCTTTTTATTCTTTGGAATTAAAAAGAAATTCAAAATGATGTAAATAATAATAAATAGAGTGTGCAGCCACGCACATATCTACTATTATTAGTTTAGGGTTAATTATCAAAATAGGACTAAAAGTCACTCACTTTGCACAAATAGGACCAAAAAATAAACTATGTTTCCATAGGACCAATTATGGGTGTCTTGGACAAATATACCCTTATAGCTATTGGAATGTTTTAATTCATAATAAAATAATAAAAAATCGTAAAAAATACAAAATAAGTAATAAAAATATTTTAAATAATAATAAATTAAAAACAAATTGAAAAAAAATGCAAAAAAAACGCCTCCGCCTCTGCCGCCCCAGCACCACCACCTCCGGTCATTTGGGGAAAAAAATGCCAAATTCATTATGAATGCCATATTTTTGGCAGAAGTGAGAATGATTCAAGTTGGCAGAAGTGAGAATGATTCAAGTTGGCAGAATGATTCAAGTTGGCATTCTCAAAGAGAAATATGCCATTTTTTTGGCATTTTCAGGAAAAAAAATGGCAGTTTTTTTTTTAGTAAATATGACATTTTTTTAACGGGCGGATGTGGTGGTGCAGGGAGGCGGTACCACCACCTCCTGCCACCGGGGGAGAATGCCAAAAATATTACGAATGCCATATTTTTGGCAGAAGTCAAAAGGATTCAAGTTGGCAGAATGAAAATGTTGGCATTCTCATAGAGTAATATGCCATATTTTTGGAATTTAAAAAAGTGACATTTTTACATCGATCGGAGGTGGTGATGCAGGGAGGTAGTACAGGCGGTGGGAAAGACATCCATATTTTTTTTAATTGTTTTTATGGAGTTTTACTACTCCCTCCGTCCCATTAAAAATGGGACAAGAGGGAGTGACACGCAAACTAGTAAAAAGTGAGTTATGTGGTTGATATTGAATTGATAAAGTAAGAATGATTTAGAGTCACACAAATTTTGCCAAATTTGGTATGAGACAATCTTAGTGGGACGGACCGAAAAGGTAACATGGGACAATCTTAGCGGGACGGAGGTAGTATTTTTTATTAATTTAAAAAAAAAAATGTTTTTTTTGATTTTTTATTTTTTAAATTTTTTGTTAATTTTTTTACTATTTTCTACGAATTATTGAATTTGTTTCGAATTTATTATGAATTAAACATTTAATTATAATTTTTGACTATGTTTTATTCATATTTAAAGGAGGGGTAAGAATGGAATGAAGAAATAGGTATAATTCCAATAGGACCAATATGGACTATCACTATTTATAGGACTAATGGTCCTAGTTGGACTATAACTCATTGTGATTGAGAAACTAGTTTAGAACTAGTGTAAATACGTACTCCTTCTTCACATTTACCAGTTTGTTTCTTTGCGAAGAGATTTCCTAGCCCTTCTCCATGGGAGATCTAATCGTTCTTTCGGAAAGGAGAAATCGGGTGAATACTTAAGGTCAAGGATTATCAGCGCTAGGCTGAGAGATCTGTAAGTTCTAGCTCAGATCTATTATTGTTGTTATGTTCGTTGTTTTGTCATAATAAGGAAAGATCTGTTTGGAAAAATTTTAAAATTCCGCTGCTGTACTTTCGAGGTACGTTACATCAATTTTCTAACAAATTACCCCAACAAAAATGAAATATATTAATGATTAAGTTTGCGCGTTAGTAAAAATGAAATAATAAACATTGCAATTAGAAGAGAATGAATGAAGATGAAGTATATACGGAATATATTACTCTGTAGAGTAATGACCCTGTGAGGTAGTTCTGATGGAGACCGCCATCCAAACTTGTCTGTTTGAGGTGCTTTCGAGTGGATTTTTTAATGAAATTTTGTGAACATATTTTTATTGAAGTGTAGATTACGTCTGAAAAATTTTAATTTTAATTTAATTGAGAAATTAATTAAACAATTTATTTAAAAACACTGCACCAGAATGTATGTAAGGGGGTGTTTGGATCTACTTCGTAAAGAAGATATTGAAGTGTTTGTGTGTAAGTGCAGAAGTACTTTTGGGTACTCTAAATTACTCATAGAAGCAGTTTTTTATAAGATGGGAAGACCGACTTCTGAAATACTGATTCTGATTCTAGTTTAAAAAAAAAAGAGAAGCAGAATCAATTTAAAACACTCTTAAATACCTGTATTTCGACTTTAATTTCATAAATACGTTTTTAGTTAACATTACTTTTTAAAAAGACTCAAATATCTGTGGTCATGCTTCACCGAGAGAAGCCGAAAATAAAGCTGCTACTCCAATTGCATTCATACAGTATGCACTGCTACACTCCGAATATTCTTGTCCAATAGTAGTATTTTTAGTTTTTTACACAACATATATTTTGTTGTTTTCTTTTGTATTTAAATATACAGTATGAGTACTCTTCTCATCAGGCCGGCCTGACGGGCTGCCCCGTCCGGCCGAGCCCGTTTGGGCACCTTCCCGGTGGAATTTTTTGATGAAATTTTTTGAGCATGTTCCTCATCAAGTCTAGTTTGTCCATACCAAATTTCAGCTCAAAATTCGATCGGGAAGGTCGTCAAATGATTTTTGCAAGTTAACTGGTCCGGAATATGTATTTTCCGGACCAGTTAACTTGCAAAAATCATTTGACGACCTTCCCGATCGAATTTTGAGCTGAAATTTGGTATGGACAAACTACACTTGATGAGGAACATGCTCAAAAAATTTCATCAAAAAATTCCACCGGGAAAGTGCCCAAACGGGCTCGGCCGGACGGGGCAGCCCGTCAGGCCGGCCTGATGAGATGATTTCTCTTTAGTTACATATTTTGTCAACTACCCATCCACATCGTCCATCTCAGCCCCGAGAGATGGCCCAGAAAAATTAGACCTTATTAGATTTGAGAAAGAAGAAACCTTTCTTCTCTGTTTGTTTATCCGCACACCATTTCTCTCTTTCTCTGTCTGCATATATATGGTTTTAGACATGTAAGCGAAAATTTCCATTTCCATACATGCAAAAATTTCCCAAAGCAAACCAGTTTCTTGAGTAGTAGTCCGTAGTCTTCTTCAATCAAATCTTCGATAAATACTCGGCCACTCCGCTATTTCTCCACCTTCAACTTACTTCGCTCTGTAACCGTTTCTTGATTCTCCTCCCCACTGACGAATAACAGAAATCTTTGCAGGTTTTGGCTTGGAATTGCGATCTCCAGTAACTTTCCCAGACTTCTCCGTTTCCGGGTTAGGAATAATTTCAAATTCATCTTCCCCCCTACATTTCGTTACTGCATGGTTTAGTTTCCTTTCTTGGGTTCTGAATTCAATTTCTGCACACGTTTGCGCTTTTGGCTGGGGAGGAAATAGTAGTGGTGGTTTCGTTGAAGTATCACGCTTCTAATCTGCATTTGCATTGGGAAATCCCCGCCCCCTCTAGGTTTATGGTACTCGTTCATTTTTCGCTTTCTTGATTTCTTATTTTCCATTCTGGGGTTTAAGAGTGGTTTCGGGTTTTGAATTTCAGGAACTATCGGGGAATTTTTTATTGCGATTGTGTTTGAATCGGGATAAGAACAATGCCGTCTATCTGGGAATCATTGTCGAGCTGCTGGAAGCCATTGAAGAGATATACGCGAGTGAGCAGGGATGAAAGCAGCAGGAGTATACGCAGAGAAGACGACGAGCTTCTCTGGTACAGAGACCTCGAGAAACACCATTTCGGGGACTACTCCTTCGCCGTCGTTCAGGCCAATAATATGATTGAGGATTACAGTCAGGTCGACGCCGGACCGGAAGCAACCTTCGTCGGAGTATACGACGGCCATGGCGGGGCTGAGGCAGCCAACTTCATCTGCAATAACCTTCTCAAGAACTTGTGCAGTACGTAATGTTCCTTTCTATATACTCTGCATTTAATTTCTGGGCATTTTCTCGATCGAAATGAAAGGAATAATCAATAATTTACGATTGTTGAATTTGTGTACGTGTGTGGCAGGGATTGCGAAAGACGAAGGAAGGATAAGTGAAAAAGTGCTTGAAAATGCCTTGTTGGAGACAGAAGAAGGGTTTATGTCATTGGTGAGAGGGGCATTTGAGAGCAACCCGGTGATTGCTGCAAATGGGTCATGCTGTCTGGTGGGCGTGATCTGGAAAGGGACATTACTGGTTGCTAACCTTGGGGATTCTGGGGCTGTGGTTGGCGTTCTCAACAAAAAAACCAAGGAAATGTTTGCTGATCAGTTGACCTATGAACACAATGCTTCTTCCCCTCAGGTTAGGGAAGAATTGAAATCCCTCCATCCAGATGATCCTAAAATTGTCATTTTCAAGAACGGTGCTTGGCGTGTTAAGGGCGTCATCCAGGTATTATTATATTATTATCCAGTATAAGTGTGGTAGTAGTTTCTTGAATGGGATTCTTTGTAATGAATGCTTCTTGTGTTGTCTGGATGATTATGATTATTAGATAACTCGGTCCATAGGGGATGCATATCTGAAGAGACAAGAGTTCGCACTCGGGCCAGAGCACCCGAGATTCCATCTGGGAGAAGCCCTTACCCGGCCCATATTGAGATCCGACCCGACCGTGTTCAAAAGGCAGCTGACGCCCGATGACAAGTTCGTCATCTTCGCTTCGGACGGGCTGTGGGAGCACCTGACGGGTCAACGGGCAGCGGAGATCGTGCATGCGAGCCCCAGACCGGGCATCGCCCGCAGGCTGATCAGGATTGCTCTGAGTGAGGCGGCGGCGAAGGCCGGCGGCCTCAGGTATGACCAGATCAAGGCCTTGGGGAGGGGGCGGAGGAGGGCCTATCACGACGACATCACGGTTGTCGTCATCTTCGTGGACCACCACGACGGCGGTGGGAGCAGGGTCGTCCCGGGATTGCAGATTAAGGGCTCCTCTGTCCGTGCCGAGCCGTCGGAGCTGGCGGGAATTTCCCTGCCAGGTGGGCCCTCAACAAGCTACAGTGGGCCCTCATCAAAAAGCTACGGTGGGCCCTCAACACCCTACGGGGGTGAGTCTGACGAACCGCCCCTTTTGAAGGCCACGGTCGACTTTGGTCTTGGTGCTCAATCTGATCCAAAGGGAAAAGCTAAAGTTGAAGAGGCTTAGATAGAATTCATTCCCAAATTCTCAACATTCTTTTTGTTTGGATTGCTGCTCATCTCATAAACGACAGACAGACAGTAGTAGTACGTAGTATAGTATAATAGTAGACACATTTTTTCGTATTCATTCCAAAAAATCACATTCAGTAGTAATCGGTACATATAGAAAAACGGACGTTAAGCTTCCAAATTCCCCTTCTGCACTCTTTCGTTATAATAACAATGGCAGTTGCACTGTTCCTTGTTCTCTCTTTTACTCGAGAATAGTGGATGGCTATGCAGTATCCATTTTTTTCTTTCTTATTTTTACCTCCCTTTATACCCCCACTTTTTCGTCTCCTCGATTTAGTTCAACTTGTTGGCATGTTTTACCATATCTACTGCATAACCTTCATCATCTTTTTCTTGACATTTTTTTACTTTTTCGTTTCCTTGTTTATTAATCCTCTTGTGATGAAAGTTACAAGACGCCCAAAATGAAGAAGAAACGTGAAACAAACGAAATTAGACAGAAACGATAGTGCAGAATAATAATTTTAGGAGGCGGCGAATGCTGATGATAAGTAATCCGTTACTTCTTTTCCTTTTATTTCACAGACAAGATCATCCTGACTGTTTATGGCCCCACTGGCCAAATCTCTTGAATATATAAGAATTACAATTGAGTATAATGAACATTAAGGGAAATAATAATTAATAAAAAAAAAAACAAATTAGAAACAACATAGTGCAGCTGATTTTCATAACACGGCTCTTGTTGTATACATCTCCTCTCTCAGAACATTTTAGAAGCATTTTCTGTGAACAATGGAAGGCCCTGACTCATCATACTCTGTCTTCGCTATCCACATCTGTCATCACCCAAAATTCAATGTTAAAAACTCAAATGTCTACACAAAGATTCATTTAGATTAAATAATAACGATACTTGTAATAATAATAATAATAAGTTATGAGCATTACAGTACAATGTCTTTGGTGCATAGACCATGAGATTCAGTGGTATGTGGTAATGATACAATCACATTTTGTTTTGAGATTTGGATCTCTTTTTGGGTTATAAGGCTCTACGGAACTGTGTTGGGAACCAGTAAATCATGATATATATAACACTACCAAACTTGGATTGAAATTGGGAGGGGGGGGGGGGGGGGGGAATAAAACAACTAACTCAAAGAATCAATCAATTTTAGATATGGTGTTTCAATGCTTTTAAAAAAAACACTTCGTATAAATAAAGAAAAACTAAATCCTATGGCATGTTTTAAAAAGTTTTAACCAACTTTGGCTTTTCTCAGTACTGTAAAGACACATTGAAATAAGAAACAACTATTTTTGCTTTTTCGTTTCCTATTATTTCCAAGGCACCAAACACAGGTTAATGAGCTTGGGAATTTAAGAGAGAAATCTACTACGTGCAATGGCATACCTGTTGGAATGTGCTAAGGGAAGCCAAAATAGACCCACCAATCCAGACACTGTATTTCCTCTCTGGTGGGGCCACGACCTTAATCTTCATGCTACTGGGGGCCAACGCGGTGATCTCCTTACTCATCCGGTCAGCAATGCCCGGAAACATGGTGGTCCCGCCACTTAGCACAATGTTTCCATAAAGATCCTTCCTGATATCAACGTCACACTTCATGATAGAATTGTATGTGGTCTCATGAATCCCAGAAGATTCCATCCCAATCATCGACGGCTGGAAAAGAACCTCAGGACAGCGGAATCTCTCGGAGCCAATAGTGATCACCTGCCCGTCGGGCAGCTCATAGCTTTTCTCCACGGAAGAGCTGGTCTTTGATGTTTCCAGCTCTTGTTCGTAGTCAAGAGCAATGTAGGCCAGCTTCTCCTTCACGTCTCTCACAATTTCGCGTTCTGCAGTAGTGGTGAAAGTGTAGCCCCTCTCAGTCAGGATCTTCATGAGATGGTCTGTGAGGTCACGTCCTGCAAGATCCAAACGAAGAATTGCGTGCGGAAGGGCGTACCCTTCGTATATAGGCACTGTGTGGCTCACACCGTCTCCAGAGTCCAAGACAATTCCTGGTAAGAAGTGCCAACAACAAATATGTGAGCCACACATATTTAATTACTAAATTCGCCATTTAAATTTTTATGACATATTTTGATAAATTTCCAATATCATAATTCACATTCCCTATTTCAATCTAGATTAATACATATTCAAATATTCTTTTTCATGTTTTTCAATGTATTTTTTATGATAAGTGTTAAACTATTACATTTTCTCCCCAATTCTTCCATTACATTTTCACCCTATATTATCTCCCTAGTGCTGTAACAGTTCCAAACTGACCCACAGTAAGTAGATAGGATTGAGTTATCAGAAAAGAACTAGAGTGTAGAGCATATAAAAAGCATACACAAATGGAGAGACTTCACCAGTTGGGCCAAGCCCATCCTTTTTTGTAAGGGCATATACTTTTGACTTTTTGAGAACTAAAGTATGATTTATCTTGGAAAGATAAAATTATTCCACTACAAGAGACAAATATATGTAATTATGTACCAGAACAACATACAGCCTCCAAATGGGCATGGGATAACCAATGTGAATGTTTTAGCCTTAGGGTTAAGAGGTGCTTCTGTAACAAATTTATGGAGTATATATATTTTTTGATAATATATGATAATATGAATGACATTTATTTTAAGCACATAGGTGGAAAGCTTACCAGTTGTACGTCCACTGGCATAAAGGGAAAGAACAGCCTGAATGGCGACATACATGGCAGGGGCATTGAAGGTCTCAAACATGATCTGAGTCATTTTCTCACGATTAGCCTTAGGGTTAAGAGGTGCTTCTGTAAGGAGTACAGGATGCTCTTCGGGCGCCACACGAAGTTCGTTATAGAATGTGTGATGCCATATTTTCTCCATGTCATCCCAGTTGTTAACAATCCCGTGTTCAATTGGGTACTTCAGAGTCAATATACCTCTCTTGGATTGGGCCTCGTCACCAACATAAGCGTCTTTCTGGCCCATCCCGACCATCACCCCCGTATGTCGGGGGCGTCCCACAATGCTTGGAAAGACCGCCCTTGGGGCATCATCTCCAGCAAATCCGGCCTGAAAATTTCATGAAAATAAAATAAAACATCCGAATCCAAGCCCAGATACAAAGATTCCAGGGAAAGATAAACAGACAATAGGGAGGAGGAGTTTACAAGGCTGTTTGGTGGTAGTTATTTCTCTGAAATGGACAACTTTTGCAGGGGATAACCCAACCCCAAACCCAAAAACTGACCCAATCATGCCTGATAATTCTAAGTGGTTCAGTTTAACTGTTGAAAATTATTATTTGAAACGTTGTTGATAATTTGTATTTCCTTTGTCCCATTTCAAGGTTCTCACTTTCCTCTTTTGGACGTCCCACATCAAGGTTTTCATTCCGTTTTAGGAAATAATTAACTCTCTTACATGACAATTTTATCATCACATATTAAAATTAATACTGCCATAACAACAAAATTATCATCAATTACCCCATTATATTATATATCCAACTAAACTATAGCCTTAAAAATGTGCCATTTCTTAAAGGGAGCCTTAAACCGAGGTGGATGCAGTACTATTTAAACAGATATCATATGTATTTCATAAAAAAATGTATGAAAGCATGGTGGAAATACTACAAATACAAAAATGTCATTCACGGACACAAACTGGCCTGGCTGAACATGGGCTGAATCAAAATGCATAAAATCTGGGCCAGCCTGAACTTATTGGGCATTTTTTCGGTCCAAACTAATACAATTTGATATCTGCTGGGCTTTTTCGGTCCCAACACAAATCCAAGCAGCCTGATTCCACCCTTAGGTGATTCCACTGAATCTTGTAAACTTGACTTCATCCATATAGATAGGTCAAAGGCTCCTCATTCATGTGCTTATTATGAATGTTTCTCTTAATTTTCTCAAAAAAGAGAATAAGTGAAATAAGCTGATTAACCCTATCGAAACAGGCCTAGAAAGGAGGGAAAAACTAGTTCAAACTCAATATATAGATCTTAGAAATTTGTCCAAACTTATTTTTTGCATTACTATTTAAGTTTCAACTTTAAGCTAAACGTTTTTAAAAACTACTATTCTTTGCATTTTCTTTCGTTCCTTGTCATTTATGAGTTCCAAAAATAGGCTACATGATAAAGGTTTGTACCTTGACCATTCCTGTACCATTGTCACACACCAGGGGCTGAATATCCTCACCTTCGGCCATCTTCTAAACTTTCTCTGAAACTAAAAAAATGTCATCAAACACAAAAGTCCCCATCCAGAACAGGTAAATGGAGGCAAAACGTATTATAATATCAATATCAATTCCCGATCAATGAAATATAACTGCCTCAGAGGTTATTGACAACCATGAACCTTGCATTCATTTCAGAACAAGCATTTGCAGATCTACAGACCCGATTCCAAGGGAAGCATAATCGAAACGTTTAAATGAAAAACAAACAAGTACGCAATTGAAACGCATAATCGAAGATGCTGTTCGGATTTTCGAGCAAATTACCCAATGTATAACCTCAAAGATTCAATCTTTGACGAGAGATGTGAACATACACCTTCTATGGATTTTATTAAGAGGCGGCTGGAGCTGGATTGGTTCTCTGGCGTTCTGATATATAGTACTCCCTTTCTTAAACGGAATAGTTTCTGCCTCGCGTTCTGTTTAATACGTGAGTAAATCCGATTGACTCGGCCTCAGCCTCAAATGAAATTCGGATCACCGCTGGTCCCACTTAGTCAGCATCATGTGCGTGGTTCATATAGCAGCTGCTTTCAGCTTTCTTTTGTGTTCATTCATTTTTATGCCGTGGGACCATTTTACCCTTGGTATTTCTGTATTCACAAATCACATTAACGACGTGTCAGGTAACCGTGACGTTACGAATTAAGTTTTATTTTATTTATTAAAAAAAAAGTTTTATTTGGATTTTCAAAATGACAATGATTTAGTTTAATTTATTTCAATTTGACTAGTATTCTCATCCGTGCGATTCACGGCCGAAATAGAGAAACTTGTGTTAATTAAAACAAAAAAAATGTGATCCCAAATGATACATCAAAACTTTTACAATGACCCCTACATGAAGGAAACCTGTGTCATGCACGGAAGAAAAATTTTGGCTCAAGTTTTTATTCTGTTGAGTAT